TATAGGAAGACGTTTGGAGCGGGAAGACTCGGGTGAGTCGTCAATTTTCAGTGTAGGAACAGAAAGTCGTACGTACATAAAAAAAAGGAAAAGAAAGAGAAGGTACCCTGAGTGTTTCCACACTCTCAGACGTCTACCCGAGGAATCTACGCGCTCTTAGTTGATCTCCTATCCAATTTATTTGCCTTGTGCCTTGGACGGTTTTAAGAAGTTTGCTAGAGCCAAATAACGTGGAATTAAACAAATGAATGTTTATTAATTTACGAGTCCTTGAGTTTAATCTGACTGGATATTCAATACCATGAAAGGATAAGGTAGCCCTTGAGGAAAAAATGTGTTTGAAAAATAGAACACAACCTAAATAAATATGGGTGGGGAACTATCATTTGACTCAGAACTTTGCAATTGTATATTAGCCATGTAACGTAAAAGTAACGAAAGAGATTCTGATTATTCCAAAAAGATGGATGACAAAACTGTATATATAAATTAGTGACTTGATTTGGGACTTGATTTGTGATGTCGCTCCTTCCGGTACCTTGATGGAGAGTATGTTTGGTGAAATTTGTAAGAATTTTTTTTTTTTAATTGTTTATAGATGATAAATTTAAATTTTTATTGAAAAAATATTTAAAAATTACTTTTAAAAATAAAAAAAATGAGTAAAAAGTAAGTAAAAAAGAAATTTATAAAAAACATAAATTTAAAGTTTTTTAAAATTTACTGTTTAAGATTTGTTTAAGATTAAAAAAAAATAAAAATATGAACTTATGAAATTTAAATAGTATTAAAAAACTGAAACTCTTATAAATTTCACCAAACATACTCATGAACTGAGTCTAATCCACCCTCCTCGGCACCATAGAGGGCCCAGGAGGGTGTGGGAGCCATATAATCCTCGCTTCTGAAAGGCTTGCCAGAAGCCACCTACATCCTCAAAAGAAGTTGGAAATCAGAACTTTTCTGAAGGCACTACTTAATGAAGAGTCTGGTGTGAGTTGGTGTTTTGCAGGTCAGATTGCAAAATATCAGCCATTGGATGGAAGGACCATTCCCTAATATCAAGGGCACCCTTAATTCAATGACTAGCGTTTTACAATCTGGACTACAAAACAGTATTTTGATAATGAAATGAATGCTGATATTAACCAGGTCTTGGAAATTTTCATAGTCTATCCATGTAAACCATTGGTCATTCACCTTGAACTTTTCGGGTTTGGCCAAGAGGACACAACATGAGTGTACATGCTCACATGCAACCTCATATTCACCTTTACTTTTTGCAGCTAATGCCTCCGAGAAAGCCTTCACATCAGAATGCCAAGGCACGTTGTCCATTGTCAACTTGGATGTGGCAGACCTGTGAGAAATCAACGTGGTTACACAAGTGTGGCGGAGATGACAAAGAAGTTAGGCAGAGGGACTGTAAAACTTACGATCCACAATATGTTACGCCCTTGATTTCAACAAAATCTGGCTTGCCAAGGCTAAAGAATTTAAAATAAGCATCGATGTCTTCTATATTCCATCCTTTCACTAAGGTCAAGCGATAGACAGTTCTTTGTTGTTTCTCCCTAAGGGCTATCGGAATCCTGAATAATTTACAAAAGAATGAAAATGAGTTGCAAGTTATGCCAGAGGACTCTATAATCACACAATCCAAGCAAAGATAGAGTTCAAGTCTCATCTCTTTCTATCTATCCTTGCTTGGTCTCAAGAAATATGTATTTCTTTGCAATAATGTTAGCTTAATTTTTCACAACATTAAGTACTTACAATGAATCTCTCCCGAAAGTCACCAAAGAGAGGCCTATCTACAGACTTTAAGCTATCCTCTGTTGCAGCATCTACACTTACATATAACTGTATGCATTAAAGAAACAAGATTTAACTTTGAAAAATAAAAAGTGGAAGATATTTTAGCATCTAGTTTGTTTATTAACAACAAAGACTGAAAAGCAACAAACCTGGGTCACTGGCTTCAGTGTTTTAATCTTTTAAGGAAACTGTGCATTTGTAACTAGAAATGTAGAACTCCTTCTCTGATGCAGCTCATCTACAAGTACATTAATCTCTGAATACATGATTGGTTCACCAACAAGAGACATGGCACAGTGTCTCAGAGATAGACCTTCAGCTAGTCGCTCCTGAGTAACACCTGCAATAACAGAATGACTATATATTCCCTACTAAATGCAGCACAAAGCTCTGCACAACACCATATCCAAGTTCTAATTGATATATTCCCACTCCCAGGCATACCAATCAAGCCAAATCTTTATACTAAGAAATGATTGGGTATTAATGCTGGAAAAGCCACAAACAGAAATCATAAAAATAGTAATAACAACAGTAGAGAAACTAGGGGCACATCTGATCCACCATGTGCGACTAAATAGAGAGATTGTGTGACAATGTGATAGTTACCAGGTACTCCTTTCATTTGTTCAATCATCTTGGTATGAAGCTCTATGGCAGTGTTCACAATCTCCGATGGGTCATCCATCTTCCATTGCCCAACTCGTTCCTACAGGATTTGTGTGATGCCTCCAACAGAAAGCACATTTGTTGGCATTTGCCAAACTATGTGTTGCCTCCATACATCTGTTTCATTAAGAAGTTCAACCAATTCAAAGTGCTGGCCTTGGCAGCCAAAGGATCGTGATGCTAAAGAATACAAGATGTATAAAGATCCTTAATGAAAATGGAAAAGTGAAGTACAACAGAATGGATGGTTAAAAAAAAGGTATATCAGAATGATGATTCACCTCTATGCACTATGTGGAATAACCATAGCTGCGATGAATACTGAAAAATTTCTGAGTTCAGACTTTTACCTCACTTGAATTTTCTCAGAAACAAATAGCAGGTAGAAGAAAATCAGACAGACTGCCCAATAAAAGAACAAAAATTTCACCCAAAGCAAGTTTTTTCCACAACAATCCCATGTTTTACCTGAAATGCCAAAGACTAATTTTTTTCCCTATTACAACTCTATATTACACTTGATATTCCAAATTGAATCAGCAAGTTATACATCTTTTATTGTGCCAGTAACATAGCAATTATATCAAACATAAATAACTACAAAATGCTTTAGATGGCCATAAGAAAGTCAAATCACCTGAGGCTTTCTATTCCATAAAATGAATGCTTGTAGCAACCTCCTTGGCAGCGAAGTTGAGACTTGGTCCATCTACAAATTTTAACACTGCTATGTGAACCAATAATTTTATACCCTGCAAATTCCCATCCATTGAAGGGAGCCAATTAAACCATCAATCAACAACTGCATTTCCAATGTAAGTACTAGATGTTATATAACGCAGGACAAATTTTCAAGAAGAAAAGATGACATGATTATGAGCAGCTTGTTCTTCTGATACAAAGAGGCAGAAAGACAGCATTTTAACAATCATTTCCAACATGTGGTAACAACCTAGTACCTAATAACATGAGTAGACATCTTTCTACATAAAATAACAAGGAGATTGAGTTAAAAAAAAAAAAAGACAACTCAGAATTACCTGCTTCTCTAAGGTAGCTCTGATTACGGGAGTCACCATGTCCCTCTTTCCATTCACTTTTCCATTACTTTCAGCTGCATTCACTGACTTTCTCGAAGGCCCTTTCCCTGCAATATCTTCAAGATCAACAATCTCCTCATCTCCTCCTCGTCCTCCATCATCACCATCATCATCACTTTCGACACTCTTGACATCACTCTCAACAGCTCCATTCCCATTCTCCACCACCAATCCTCCCTTCAAAACCTCAACGACCTTTTTACTCCACTCCTCGAAAACCCTTTCCAATTCAACCCCATCTACATCTCCCTCCCCAGCCGCCGACCCCAAAAACAGCAAACTTAGAATTCGCCATTAGCAAACTCCCTGCGCGAAAATCAGTGGTACTCTCAGCGAGCCAGTTGACGAAGAATTTGGATTTAGGAGGAGGATTCCCATCTTCCCATGTGGAAGCAACGATTAGAACTACTGTTTCCTTCGGTAGGTCCTCTGGCTCGTAATCGTGGGGGTCGACGAGGTCGAAGGGAAGGTTATTGGAAGATAGAAGATGGTGGAGAGGGTAGGCTAAGGATTTGGAGGTACCTGTCTGGGAGATGAAAAAGAGCTTTCCTTTTCTAAGCTTTGGTTCTGGGTTTGCAGATACTCTGAGGAGCTTCAGGCGATGGGATTGCTAAAAGAAATAGAAACTGGTAGCGGAGAAGATGGCGAGTAGAGTGAGGCATGTTAAGAGCGAGTACGGAGACATGCTGCGGATCTTCTTTCTCCGGTTTAACAAAAATGTGCAAATATTATAGAATCGCGTTCATGGTCGCGCACCGGCGAACGGAAGCGGGGAAATAAAAGACCGAAGTGGAAGCAGGCGGCGGCACTTTACTAGCTTACCGCTGAAAGCCTGAAACCATTTGTGGGTTAGTCTTGTGTGCAATTGTCCTGTCTCTTAAGTAGTCTCCACTCGACCCATTACTCTTCTACTAGCCCTTGGCTTGAGGAGCATCATATGGTATATATTTTTTTTTTAGTACATTGGGTGTCGGATTATGCAATCTATCATTTTTTATTTTAAT